ACAGACGTCGGATGTCAAGCCTAGAGCGTCGAGACCAAGCGTCGCAAAATCAACAAGCAACAAGTTCGAGCAAAGCCGTAGCATCACATTGGCCTAGCCATGTGGTTGCTATGCTATCTCGAGCTAGCATGCACCTCGCATTGCTAGGCGCAAGCCTACCATGCCATGCGTGCTAGGGGCTAGTGCCCAGCTACTATCGCAAGCCTAGGCCTTGCTAGCACTGACACACAGCATGCCTAGCTTGCTAGGCGCTTCGCATGGCAGCACGCTACGCACCAGCCAGTAAGCTCGCTAGGTTGTGCGTGTGTACGTGTAAGTGTATGCCTTCGCATGGTAGCACGCTAAGCTCGGTGGGCTGTGCGTGTGTGCGTATGCCTTCGCATGGAAGCACACTACGCACCAGCCAGCAAGCTCGCTGGATTATGCGTATATGCGTATGAGCGTATGTGCCTTCGCATGGCAGCACCAAGCACAGCGCATTGGGCCTCGCCAAGTAGCAGCAGCATGCGCGGCTCGCTAGCAGCACGCATGTGTTGGTTGGGCTGTGCGTGCTGGTTGGCTGGCATGGCTGGCTGCCCAGCCTTGGTGCCAAGCGCCTGCTGGCAGCCAAGGCAGGCTGCCAGCCTGCCCTTGTCCTTGGTGTCGGTTTGGAGATGTGGGGACCAAGGCTTGGAGCCAACCCTTGGGAGCAAGGCGATGGTCCCCCCTTGGTGATGGTCCTCACCTAACCTCTCCTCTCCATATGTCACTTGTTGATTGTTGATCGCATTATCTTTTAATTTTTTTTTTATTTAAAGAAATTAGTTGGAAATGCAAATTATCCCACATTGATCATGAATGGGAGTGCAAGTTGCATTTCTCTCCATGATTGGGCATTTGGAAATCAACTTGAGTGGAACTCAAAAAGGCATCTCTAATTATTGAGAAAACCTTTAAGTTCGTAAAGCTCTAGTTTTATCTTTGGTTACGTCTTGACTAACCCTCGAGACGAAGACCATTCTGGTCGGGTCGTGGGTACAAGCTGTTGGAGGCCGTCACACTTGTGAGGCTTTAAGCTTAGAAGTAAGAGCTCGGTTTACGAGCGAAGCACGCTTCAAGGGTATAACTTCTTTCTCCCTTTTCTTGATTATTGTTTAATTATGTTTATGCATGCTTTAATTGCTTTAATTATTGGGGCGGGTCTTGGGGGGATCTATTCCGCGTAGAGACGGTGTCTACGAAACCCTACAAGCTGCACAGACGGAAGACCGGCTGTGTCAAGCGGAAATAACAGGAAATCTTGTGAAGGCAAATGCGGACAGAATCAGGGTCTCCCTCTCGAAAATCTTCTCCTTCTCTCTCTAAGTTTTTTTCAGACAGGTTCCAAAATGAGAGGGGAAGGAGGGGGAACCTTACTTATAAAGGGGTTGGAAATAGGGGCGTCTCCCTAACTTCCCCAAAAGGTGAACCGTTTAACACCGTTCACCCGTCTACATGTGACACTTGTCAAGGGTGTCACGTGGAACGCCACGTCACCCCTGTGAGGGGCAAATGATTTGGGTAAAAATACCCATGTCACGTGGCCCAATCAGAATGGGACACATGTCACCTCATGACTAGCCCAATAAAGGCTACTCACTAGTTGACACGTGCACTTGAAGTCAGCAAGGGAAAACGACGGCCTTCGAGGCCCAATTCCCGAGACAGCCCATCAATCCTAGGTTTCCGTAAACTAGGATAGTGGCACGAATCCCAAGACTCTATAAATAGGGAGATGTTCCCACCTAGGGAACACATATTCATTCAATACGAATAAACTAGAGCAGTCAATGATTGCAAATAATTTATTCTCACCTTAGAGAATATTCCCGATCTCGGAATCCGAGAAGATACTACTTTACTTTTCGCACTTTTTACATTCTCCGAACAAGTTCTAACTTGATTATCGGAGGAGGAACTCTACCTAACTGGATTCTCTGTTGTTTTGCAGGTACAGGCGCCCAGAATCCAGTCTTGGTGTTGTAACTCTCCCGAGGGATACAGAAAACCCCGAAACAGCAGTTTTGGCAAATAAGTTATTTTGGTTTTAAAAGGGGAGTATAAATACCTTAAAACCCCAAGAATTTTACACTCTAAAATCATAATTTTCAGATTCATAAAAACCCCAAAAGTTTTCCTCTTATTTTCTCTCTCCTTTTTCCTCCCTTTTTCTTTCTCTTCCCATAATTCCCTCTCTCTCTGTAACACCCCTATATTATTCTCCAATAATAATAATCATAATGCAACTTTAAGGAGTAACATGGAGATATTACCACCACGTGATTACTTAAGGCTTAACCACTAGTAGAAAAACATAAATGAGCACCGCAAAAAGCGCACCAGTTTTTAAAAACCGGTGCGAAAAAAATAGGCGGGATTGAAGGAAAGAGTAATCGCACCGATTCAAACCAAACCAGTGCGAAAATGGGTTAATCGCACCGGTTCGAACCAAACTGGTGCGAATGTTAATGTAAAAAAAAATAAAAAAAAAATAAAAATAAAACTCGGCCTTTTATCTTCTTTCTTTCTCTTTCCTTGATTTCTCCTCCTCTCTCATCTGCCTCTCTCTCATCTGCAATAATGGAGGCTTTTTCCTCAAACGCGCAGCCACATGCAATCAAAACCACCGCTGGCCAGATCTCGAAGCAACCGCTGGCCAGATCCCTCGGTCACCGTCGCTTTCCCTTTCCTTTTCTCTCTCCATGTCGAAAATCAGCGTCATTAGAACCAAGCACAACCACCATCGTCGATGCCGTCAATTTGAACCAAATACAACAATAACAACAAACTTGAATCAATTATCGATTCAAAAATCACAAATTCAAGGTTAGGGTTTATGAGTATTTGATTTTGGTCCAATTAATCATGTTAATGCCTTGGTTTTTTTTGGATATAATTTATGAATTGTTCAAAATTGTTGCTGGTCTTGGAGGTTTATGCGGTTAGGTTTTGGCGTTGTGGGTTGCGGCAAGTTGTAGTGAAGGCAGGTTTTTGGGTGCTGTGGCTCGTAGTGCCTTAGTGTGTGTAGGGTGCTTCGTGTTGCTGATTTTGCTGCTTGTTGGTGCATTTTATTGTGAGTAAAGTGTTCCTGTTACTGCTTTTGTTTCTTCTTTGTGTGGTGGTGGTTTCGTGGTTGCTGGGTTGTTCGATGTTGCTGGGTGATAGGGGTGGGTGTTTCGGTGTTGTAGGGTGGTGCTAGTGGTGGTGGGTAGGGGTGGGTGGTTTTGGTGTTGTAGGGTGGTGCTCGTAGTTCAATTGTGAGGTTCACTCTCCCTTTCCTCCTGCCTGTCTCTATTATCTCTAGAGTTAGATTGTTGCTAGCTCACGAAAGGTCCTGAAAAAAGCTCCAACTGAGTCTCCCTTTTCAAAATGAACTTGCTTGCTGACATTTGTTGGTAGATTTCTGAAACCCTAACCTCTTTGTTATTTAAGTTTTCTAAATTTATTTTAATTCTATGCTTAGGAGCATGTTTAAGTGGCAGATGAACGATTCATGTTGTATACCAGCATACGTTGCTGGCAGGCTGGATTATTGTTGCTGGATTATTGCATGCAAGGGAACTGTTATTGTTATGAATGATGAGCATGTGTACTATTAATGTTCCCAATGAACATCTATGAGCGGACATGTTGTGTGCTATAGATTTCATAATGCGTTGAGTCCGTTGGCCGTAAATAGTTACACTATGATAATCCATATGATGAAGGGACTCACTTTCATCGTACAGCTTCTCACTATGATTTGCTCCGATTTGTCTGTTGAGGTAACACAGTTTGAGAAGTTTTTGGATGAAAAAAAACCCCTTGATGGATTCATGAATTATTTGCTTTATTCTGAGGAAATTTGCGGTTTTTGTTGATGAATGTTGTTGAAATTTACGTTTCATGGTTCATAAACAGTGACTTGCAGCCGAAGAAAAGTACTTATTATTTATTAATAATAATAATAGTTCAACACATTTCCAAAGTAGCTAAAACACTGATACTAAGTTTACTAAATTGAACTAGGTGATCACCGCCCATCGTCCCCAATGCAGCATTTAATTCACGTCGTCTGATCGCCATCACCTATCTACTCATCATTAATGACAAGTAGGGCCAAGCCAAAACAAAAGAGAAATACGTATTAGCCAAAATGCTAAATACATACAAATGCTTGACATGTAAAATCAATTTAGTTAATTAAACATGCTTTTGAAAGTTTCGACTTTAACAAATCATAATTTATCAAACCACTCGTGAATAGAAATTTTCATATTAAAACATATCAATTCCACAATCAACATCTTTCAAAGATAGTTCTGAATAGAATATGGGTTCAAACCTCATTTTCGTAAATCATTTTTCCACCTAAGTGTGCACACCCCCCATGCTAGTAACTCCTTTACATAGTGTTATCAAGGGGAAAGACTAGGTCATACATATCCCATAGTCTTCAATTTTATCTCCGCATTGTGGGAGTCATAAATCCAAAGATCTAATAAATAAATCTGATAAATAAACTTTCCAATATTCCATACTCGAGATAATTTAAACAATAAACTTCCTTTTTAACCATCTTAAATATCAATACAAATTTGTAATCAACCATCTAAAAATATTTAAACATTTAAGATCAAACAATTAAAACAGGCTTCACAGAAATATATTTCATAATCATTCAAACATGGTTCGAAATCAATCAACATATAAATCGTGTTGCATATAAAAGTCACTTTATAAAAGATTTAGCCACGTGTATGTACCTTGATCTTTACACACAATTACGGAACTCCTACTTACGAACTCCAAATTTCTCCTACAATAATCAATAATCCTAATGAAATACTTTTCAACCCATAGACACAAGGACTTAAAATATAGACCTTTGACTTAGTTGTGCATGTTGACTTAGTTGTGCATGGACATTTGTCTTATTAACCCTTTATAAAATCAGGTTGTTCCTATTGTTCTGGAAGTTATCACCTTGGTGGTGATTAAACTTTTGCTTCTTAAAGTTATTCTGGTTTCCAGATGGTCCGAAACTGGTCATAGGCTCCTTCCTTTTCTCCCTAGCATCTAACTCAGCCTTTTTATCTTTTTCCTTCAACTCCAATGCATGTAAATGCGCTGCCCTACCATACAACTCATCCAAATTGTTAAACACTTGCCCTAACAACTTTCCTTGTAGAGAAAGAGGCAATCCCCTCTCAAAACTTCTAGCTTTCTGCCTATCAGTAGCCACATTATCTTCAGCAAACCTAGACAACTCGATGAACTTAGTGTAGTACTCTGTCACCGACATACTTCCCATATTAAGTTCTAGGAACTCATCAGCTTTCTGCTTTTGCAAGAACATAGGGTAGAACTTATCCCTCACTTGTTCCTTGAACACGTTCCATCCAAAGTTAGGTAATGCTCTCACAGTTTGCTCATTCTACTGCCACCACAAATCTGCTTCACCCCTTAAGTAGTAAGCTGCACTATTCACTTTGGTCTCATTAGGACATGCTACTGCCACAAACAACTTAACGAACTCTCTTAGCCAGATTTCAAGGATAGTTGGGTCAGGTTCTCCCTGGTAGGTAGGAGGTTTGCTTTGGGCTATCTTCTTAAACAACTCCCCAGCAGGGTCAGGATTGTTATTCCTTTCAGCTAACTGTTGGGCTATAGCAACTAGTTTCCTTAATACTTCATTCAGATCATTGTTATTGTTGTTTCTTCCTGCCATCCTAGTCCTCCTGAATAAAAAAATAACTACTATTAGGTTGGTCACAACCCTCTTGTAACTAGACAACAACCAAGCTATTTTAATCCAAGCATACAAGCGATCATTTTGAATTATAGTAGAAGCACCTACTCATTTCTCCTACTAATAATTCAACACATTGTGTTGGTTGTCATGCAACCATTTCACTTAGCTAAGCACATCACAAAAATATTTTTGAGTCATTTCCCTTGATACCATTTACAGAAATAAAAAAAATAAATGACACTTGATAGGCTTGATTGAAGATGGAAATGAATAAGATAAGAATAAATAATACTTTATTGGAATAATGAAAAGAAATGTTTGGAATATCCCAAATGTAGCTTTGCTACTTATTACTCATACGCAGTACTTTATTAAACTGTAACTATAAATAAGAAATGAAATAAATACTTAAAACACTAGAGAAAAGTAAGTCTAAGATCTTCAAATTTTGACATTGTCAATCTTGACTTTTATCTCCTTATACTTCTTTGGATTATACTCAGGATCACTCCCATTATCACCATCATTGCCACCATCATCATCTTCCTTAGGATCCATATCTTCACCAGGGTCTTCTTTAGACTCATCAGATTCTAAGTTAATAATTACTAGAGGGCTTGGAGGATTTGGATTAGGAATGACTTTGCATGAGGTGTCTCCTGGCTCATTATCTTGCTCCATTGGCTCACCTTGACTCTCATAAGTTTTCTCAGGTTCTGACTCAGACACGGAATCATAGTTTTCTGAAGGATAGTAAGGTGCATTTTGTTGTGGAGATGGATCACCAAAGTTATGGTAAGGTGGAGGATATGCAGCATATTGAGGATTAAGGTAAATAAATTCCTTGTGGGCAATGTAACGGTATAAGTATCTCCAATCTGCTCCCCACTAACCATTAGAGTCCTTATACTTAGTATAATTAGCAACACCATTAGGCAAATGAAAATCACGAAAGCGGCTCTTAATAGCCTCATAGGGAGGATAGTTAAGCAAGCAATGAACAATCATGGCAGAGACATAGTTAGGTTGGTCAAAATGACGTTCTCCAAATACATCAGATCTATAAGTACAATAAAAACAAATCCTACGAATATAATCCCACACATGCTCATAGTCCTTCTTTGCTAAAGTGCCCATGTCAGTGAATCTACAAGGTAATCAAACATCCTGCAAGGTATTTTGTCCATGACTCAATAAAGAAAATTCTTTTTCAATTCAAATATACAGTTCACTGCAAAAATTTAAGTTTAGTGTTCAATCATATAATTTATATTATTACACATAAACATGCTTTCACTTAAATACATATCTTCATACAATATGCTTGAACACCTTTCATAAATAAAATATGCACATAGGAAGACATACAATAATTCTAGCTTATGTCCCTTTTTAACCTACTCAATCTCACCACATGCTTTCAAAAGCATAACACATAATTACATACCTTAATTCCTTCGCATACCTGCACACATAATTATTTTTTTTAAAAGAAAATTGTACTTTATTTCGAAAATAGTTGACCGAAAATAATAAATTGAACTTCATTTTCGAAAATAGTTGCCCGAAAATAATAAAAAAAAATTCGGACCCCTCTATATAAAAAAAAAAATTCGACCCTTAGTATTTAAAAAAAAAATTCGGACCAAATAAAAAAAAAAAAGAAAGAAATTTTCGGCCCCCCTTTAAAAATAACGGACCTAAAAAAAATATTCAAACTTAATTAAATAAGCACTTGGCCAAGCTTTAAAACATAGATACCTAAAAAAAACGTTTTTGGCTTTAGTGGTAATTAAAATCCAACCTGGCTCTTATACTACTTTGTAATACCCTGGAAATTTCCCCCTTTTTAAAATACTCTTTTTCTCTAAATAAAATCTTTTTTAGATAAAAAAAAATACTTTTTTTTTTTTTGGTAAGTAAAAGAATTTTATTACCAAAAGCTGCAAGCAGTCACAGAGACCAAAACAAGCAACACCACCAAAGCCTAAAACAGGCTAAAAACCAGCTAGAGGACAAAAACCCAGGCCACCTTCTAGGAAGGGTTCCAGAGAAAATGACCTCAAAACACAGGCTCTTCTACTCTCAAGGGAGAGGAACTACCCTCTAGGAGGGTCATTCCTGACCAGAGGAGAAGGACAACACCAAAACAGACATAAAAGACAAGACTGGCCAAAACAACAACTAGGCCAAACCACAAAACCAGACTGACAGTAAACAGACAAACAAGCCTAATCAGCATGCATAATCAGCTTCTGCCTCTCAGCTTCAGTACACCTACAGGAGACTCTATACACCACTCTTCTGAACACAATGTCAGCAGGCTCACAGCTCCCATTGAACATGGTGTTGTTTCTTTGAAGCCAAATGTTGTACACAACTTCTGCAAGAAACGTCAAATGTAACTTGCTCTTTAAACTCGATCTTCTGCAGTTTGTAACTGCCCATTCAACTTCTTTATTGAAACCTTGAACAGGTTTTTGACATCTCAGAAGGTGCAGGATCTTCTCCCATATCTGACATAAGTAGCTGCATGTAAAGAATAAATGTTGCACAGTTTCATCACCCTGTAAACATAGCAGACAAACAGGATCACAGACAGGGTTCCATTTAAGAACTCTGTCCTTTGTCAATAATTTGTTCCAGCTAGCCAACCACAACATGAAGATACTCCTATGAGATGCATTATTATTACAGACTAGTCTTCTCCAGGGGACTTTGGGGCTTTGATTTCTAATCTTAGCATATATTTTCTTAATTTGGACTCTATTCATCCTCATCACAGAGTTCCACCCCCCTATGGCATCAATCAAGCTCCTATACTTCTTAATTTTTCTGAGAACCCAGGAACTCTTCTTAAGAATGTCAGCTTCCCAAAACTCAACAGATTTGAAATAGTACACATGAACCCATTTGACCCAGAGTGAGTCAGATTTATGAGCAATATCCCACAAGAGCTTACAAATTACAGCAAGGTTCCACTCATGAAGAGAGATGATATTCCATCCCCCACAAGATTTGGGTAAACAAACAGTGTTCCAGGCAACCAGGGCCTTCTTTGAAGGGTTAGAAGCACCTGTCCAAAGGAAAGCCTTGAACCTACTCTCAATATCCTTCATGATCTGCTTTGGCAAGATGAAAATCTGAGCCCAATAGGTTTGGATCCCAAACAGAAAACTCTTAATGAGCTATAATCTACTAGCATAAGAGAGAAATCTAGAAGCCCAACCTTCAATTCTACTGATTATTTTAAGAACCAGGGGTTGACATTGTTGAATAGTCAATTTCTTAGAAGAGAGAGGCACCCCAAGGTATTTGAAAGGGAGAGAACTAGAAGCCATACCCAAACTTCCTAGAAGAGTCTCATGAGAAACCAAGTCAATGCTCCCAAAATATACCTCACTCTTATTGAGGTTAGCACTCAAACCAGAAGCTTTAGAGAATTTCTGAAAAGCTGTGAACATAAGTTTAACAGAACAGTCATCAGCTCTGGCAAACATCAACAAGTCATCAGCAAAAATTAAATGAGTGAGAAGGAGCTTCTCACATCTAGGATGAAAATTAAAATCAGGGATCTTAGCAAGCTCATGAAGGCATCTAGACAAATACTCAATCCTTATAGCAAATAGAAAAGGAGACATAGGGTCACCTTGCCTTAATCCTTTCTTTGCTTTGAATGGGACAGTAGGAGAGCCATTTATCAAAATGGAAAAGGACACAAAAGAAATACACTCCATAATCTAATTAACAAAGACAACAGGAAAGGCAAGTTCAAACATCACAGCTTTAAGAAAACTCCATTCAATGGAGTCATAAGCTTTCTTCAAATCAACCTTAATCATGCATCTAGGAGTGATGTGTTTGTGAGTATACCCCTTTATCAACTCAGTAGCCAATAGAATGTTATCACCAATATGTTTCCCTAGAATTAACCCAGCCTGTGCTTCATCAACAATGTCACCAATAACCTGAGCCAGCCTGGCTGTTAAAATTTTAGAGATAATCTTGTAGAAAACAGTATAGCAAGCTATTGGCCTAAAGTCCTTCACATGAGAAGTATTTTGAACTTTAGGAACCAAAGTTATAGTTGTACAGTTCCACTGAGCACTCAAGGTTCCAGAATCAAAGAAACCATGCACTGCTTCATAGACCTCCAACTTGATAATATCCCAAGAATACTTGAAGAATTTTGAATTATATCCATCAATTCCAGGGGCTTTATCATCTGAGATCCCTTTATGAGCATAGTCAATTTCAGAGTTAGTCATAGGCCTAATTAAAAGATTCTAAGCCTCACTAGAAAGATGCTTCCCATATCTCATAGTAACCAAGTCAATAGCATCAAGATTAGTGGAGCTGGACCCCATCAAAAGCTTGTAGAACCTGACAATCTCCTTTTCAATATCACCAGGAGCTTTAAGAAGCATATCCTGCTCAGTCATAATAGAGTCAATTTTGTTTCTGGCTTGTCTTTGCTTCATCATGGAAAAAAAATACATAGTGTTAGAGTCACCAAGTTTGACCCAGTCCACCCTAGCCTTTTGTCTATAAATACTTTCTTACACAGACCTCCAGTATTTAAGCTGTTGAATAGCTGCATCATCCTGCATAAGCAAGTCAGGGCTAGAAAAGTCAAGGGCCATCTGTTCTTGGATATCAAGAACAGCCTGTTGTGCCTTGTCAACTCTCATTTCAACATTATTGAAAGAATTCAGATTAAGCTCTTTAAGCTTGACTTTCAGACTTTTACACTTCCTCCATAGTCTACTCATAGGATTCCAATGGGTCCCCCCACTCCAAACCTCCTGCACAATACTCAGGAAATCAGAATGAGTGAGCATATGATTCAAGAACCTAAATGGCTTCCCTTTACCAGGAGAGGGAGAGAGGATCTCATATAAGAGGGGAGTATGATCAGACATAGAAGGGGGAAGGTAAATGGCTTCAACATTTGGAAATTGCAATAGCCACTCAAA